TGTTACATATGCTCATTAAAGGGGGCACAGCATGAACACCTGGAAGGTGTCACAATCTGTAGGTTTCTACAGAGGAATTTTGTACCTTTTTAGTTAGCTCAGGTTGTCCTCGGAGGTTCAAATTTAGGCACTAGAAAATGCATCCATTAATTTTTGCTCCATGTAAGTGGTATTATTTCTGTACCTGTTCTTCTGCAAAACGAGCACACACTTGCTATGAGCTGCAGCCGCTTCTGAACAAATTTGAGACAAACTAGGTTTGGATAAGAGACTTTGATTAATTCACATATAACACACAATTTGTTTGTCCTCACCTGCAATTGAAATGACCCAGAGTGAGTGTGCCCCTCATGCTGCTGGAACAGGAGAGGGTGAATGGCTCTGCTCACCCAAACCCCCAGCTTGTGCATTGTCTTCATTGAGGTATTGGAGTTTTAAAGTCCAAATAGGCCACCTGCCCTAAGGGGGACATGGAAATACCCTGAATTTTAGTTTTTCTTTCAGAAATACATCTCAAAGACGTGTTGAGATAAGCAGGAGTTGTCACTGAGAACAGATTCCAGGGATTTATTGGGGCAGAAGGCACACAAAACAATAAGTAATAGTAAAAATGCACTAATTGTCTGCTGGGTGAGTTGGATGTTCTATTAAACGTTTATTGAAATTCAGTTAACTTGCAGGACAGAGGGACAAGCTGGCTGCCTAAAGAAAACATAAGCATTGTAGGGCAGCAGAGCAGGGCAGCATCAATCTCTGGGACAGGGACAGGAGCCAGGAATGGCTGGAGCTGGGCCAGGGCAGCTCAGGCTGGAGAGCAGGAAAGGTTCTTCCCCCAGAGGTGCTGGCACTGCCCAGGCTCCCCAGGGAATGGGCACGGCCCCGAGGCTGCCAGAGCTCCAGGAGCCTTTGGCCAGCGCTGCCAGGGATGCCCAGGGTGGGATTTTGGGGGGTCTGGGCAGGGACAGGGGCTGGGCTGGGTGATCCTGGTGGTCCCTTCCAGCTCAGGGGAGTCTGTGATTCCATAAATTTGTGGTTCATAATTAACATTTTGTTCTTGACTTTTCCTGTCCATGGCTTTCAGCTGTGACAGCTATCACAGGGGCTGTGACCCTGCATTTCACTCACTTTTCCCACCTTCTTTGGGGTTGCTTTTTTCTCATTCAGTATCTTTTCTTCTGCTGACTGGGATTCTTCCAGGTTTTGGGCCACAAGGCATTTAATGGCTTTGGGCACAAAGAGAATGTGTCAGGAAGTTTTTTCCTTGGGAAATTCCTCCTCTGAGGTTGGATGTCACCCTTTCCTCAGGTGAGAGGAGGCTCAGTCAGAGCAGGGGATTCTCTTGCCAGGGCTGCACTGGTGAATAATGCAGCAGAATCTTGTAAAGACAGCACTGCAAACCTCACCAGCAAATCCAGTGCTTACCTCACCAGCCCCCAGGCACTGCTTTTGTTGTGATCACAGCAGGGTTTGAGTGATGGATGCACAAAGGAAATGGGGAGAATGAACAGAAAGTAGTTTATGGTTTTCCTCAAAGGCACTTTTCTAACTCAAAAATATAAGCCTTGTGGTTTATATGGTTTTGAAATGTAACCACAGATCTTGAGAACTGGAAGACATTTGATTTACCATCTCCTGCAATTTTGGTACCAGGTTCAGGGCAGAACTCATTAATTTTCAGAATTAAAAACATTCAAAGGAAATATATTAATGTCAAATGTTTAAAACAGGAACATGCTATTGGGAGAAACTGTCAGAGCCAAAACTTGAGGTCTTTTGTGACTTGTTGGAGTTGGTGCAGATGTGTCTTTTTGAGAGCTCCACTAACATGCTCAAACCTTGATTTGGTGAGGCTTTTGCAGCTGTTTTAAGGTCTGCAACCTCCTTTTTTGGGAGTTGTGAGGGGTCAGTGTCAGACTGAGCACTTTCTCTTGAGCTCAGTCTAGGAACTGGAAGGGCTCAGCTGCCTGGGACACATCTCCTGACCCTCCTCAGCAGCTGCTCACAGCTGGAGCAGGGAGACTTGGTGTTCTCTGACTTTCCACACTGGTTTGGTGGTTTTTTTTTTTTTTTTTTTTTTTTTTTGCTGGGTTTTTTGGTTTGTTTTTTTTTTCAGTTTTTGTTGTTTTTCTTGGTTTTATTTTGCTGATAGAATGCCCCTTGCTAATAGCTGGATATCTCTTCAGGAGACCCTGCAGGATTGAAATTCTCTTTAGCAGTGGAGCTTCTGGGTGTCCTTGGTGGGAACACCCCATACTTGCCTTGTTCTTGTCCAGAGCTGAGCTCAGATGCACTTGTGGTTCAGTTCTGACCACTTGGTTTTCAGTCACTTTGCTTTATCCCTCCTTCCCTTGTACTTCTCCCTCGCTCCCTGCTGTGTGGAGCAGCCACAAGCTCTCCAGGTTTTTCTGGAAGGCTTGTGAAATTCCCTGTTTGGTCCTGTTGTTTTTCCTTGAATGTCCTGGTATTAGTTTATTGCTGATTCTCCTGTTCCTTCTCGGATGTGGATGGGCACGTACCTATCTGGTATCCCACCAGAGTATAGCAGTAGATATGGATTAATTACCCTTGTGAAAAGACATTAATTTCTCACTCTCTAGGGGTGCCAGGAGAAGTCAGAGTAGGACAGTCCTCCAAGGAGGTCCTGCAGGAGACAGAGCAGGTGAATTGTTGATTTCTTTCAGGAGACCAAACGATATGGGCCTTGACATTTCCATCTCCTGTCTCATCTGGAGTGTCTGGATGAATAGCTCCAGGCCCAGCAGGAACTGCCATGTCCTCCCTCTGCTGGGACGAGACAAGGGCACGAGGTGGCTTTGCTCTCCTGTTTATGTCTGGCTCTGGGAGCAACTGCTTGTAGGTGATTTTGTTATGTTTAGCCCCTGGCTGTGTCTCATCCTTAGATTCCCAGCAGCCTCACCAGGTGAGGAAGGGAACAGCCCTGTGCAGACACCAGCAGATTTCTCAGTTTTTCTCCTTGTTCAATCCCTGCCCTCTGTCACTGTGAAGCCATTTCCCCTGGTCCTGTGTCCCTCTCCAGCTCTCCTGGAGTCCTTTCGGGCACTGGAAGGGGTTCTCAGCTGCCCCTGGAGCTTTCTGCTCCGGAGTGTCTCCCCCAGGTCCGTGTCCCTCGTGTGCCGTGCTCCAGGGGCGCTCTGTGGAAATAGCTCAGCCCTGGGGCAGGGAAGGTGTCCCTGTGTGCCTGGGACTGCTCAGTGCCACGCTGGCACTGCTGACCTGCTCACAACTGACTGCAGAGGCATCAGCTCGCCTTTCAGGGGCAGGGAGGTAAGGTAGGAAACAGTCAGTAAGAACAGGGCTGTGTTTGTTGACTGAGGTTTAGAAAGCTTTTAACAAGTTGAATTATTGGTTGTATGTGAAGTGAAACACTGCTCTCCTAACTGCTCTCATTTCCTGTATCATTCCAGCCTGTTCCCTGCATTAATTACAGCTCAGATTTACAGTGGATTTGGTTACACACTGCATTGCATTCTCATTTTTTTTCCTCTGTGTGTATAAATTTCTTTGGGAGTCAGGCCAAGAGGAGAGTGTGCAGATAGGCACACACACATGGACTAAATTTGACTGTAATTTGCTAATTTACTGGGGAGAAGAGGTCTGGCTTTTCTTCTGTTTTGGTGTAAAAAGAGCCTTTTATTTTTCCAAAGGAGGAGCAGTAGCTGAGAACAGCCAGTGTTTGGAGAGTTCAACATTTCAGAACAACCAGAGATGAGAGAAAATATTATCTTGTGAATTGTAAATGTGGCATTTTTAATTTGGCTGGTGTTTCCCAGAGGTTAGTGGATAATGGGAATATTATCATGCTCTTGGCTCAACCAGTAATCATCTTGCTACTTCAAGTATTTTATAAATACAGTGCCTCAGAGTTCAGCTGGATGAGGTAGAGCCTTTCACAGCTGAAGGAGTTTTTTTGTGATGTGAAATATGAGGTGCAATGAGATACTGAGCATGAAATCTAGCATTTGGAAATGAGCTCTTTAGGAATTGTAAAACACAGAAGGTGATTAAAAGGAAGTTTCCTTTTCAGTTTAACATTTTTCTTTTGGCTGTATGAAAACATAAGAAGAAGTGTGTTAGGAGGCTTGGTTTGGAGAGTTCATTCAGCTTTTTAAATTCATTCTTCACATTTTAACTGTTGATGCTGCAGATGATTTTCATCAGAATATTTTGTGTCGTGGTTTCATAAGTAAATGATTGTGAATTAAGTTGAATCAGATATCAAACATGTTACTGCTTTCAAAATGAAATATTCCTAAACAATTGCTTTAGAAGTGCTGGTGTGATGAATATTGCTATGATGAATAATGGTATGATGACTGTATGAAGAATGATAACACACAAAAGAACAACTGAATGCAAGTTCTGCAATAACTAGGCAAAAAATAAGAAGAAAATTCCAAATAACCTTTTTTGGAAATATTTGATCCCTCTTTGTTTAGTCTTGCCACTTATCCCAGCAGTCTTTCATCTTGCCTCTTCCTCAGGCACGCTCTTGCCTGAATCCCAGTGCAGCCCTCCTGTGCCCAGCCTGGCATGGCAGCCCCCCTGAGCACACCCTGTCCTGGCCCAAAGTCACCCTCCTCCACGCCGGCTGGCGGAGTTTGCACTGCAGAGCCGTGCATGGAAAGCTCCTGTGCTGAGCATCCCTCGGACCTGAGCAGGGGCTGGGGGTGGGCAGGGCATGCAGCAGCAGCAGCAGCGCAGCAGGGCTGGAGCTGCACTGCACAGCTTTGGAGCGAGTGCAGGAGCCAGGGGCTGCCCAGTTCGAGCCGTGCCTGGCTGGGATTCTGTTGGGATTTCAGAGTGCAGGGTTTTACACACTAATCCTGACTGGCACTTGGAGCTTGGTGGTTTCCAGCATGGAGTAGCAGATTTCTCTGGGGTGAAACAATGCCCCAGTGTGTCTGGGCTGCCTCTACAGAGCCAATAAATCTGTTTTGTTTTGTTTTTCTCCCTCCTTTTCTCTCTTCCCCCTCCTCCAGGCCAGGACCCACTCGTACTGCTGCAAACCCTTCAGCTCCTCTGGACAAAGAAGGAGCTGGGGAAGGTAAGGCTGAGCCCTGCACGCCGCAGTTCCTCTGGATGCAGAGCATGTCCAGGCCAGGACGCTGGGGTCACACCCGCCAGTCTTCAGGGCTGCTTTCATTCCAGCACTCAGGGGAAGAGCCTCTGCATTTGCAGCTACAAGTGAAAAGAAAAGGTAGCTTTGTGTGATGGGGAGCAGCTCAGGGGCTCCTAGAAAAGGGCTGGAGTTTCCAGGGCTGAGTTACAGAAGGAAGGAAAATCAAAGTTGCTTTTGTTTTGTTTTAAACACTATTTTTTGTCCATTAAATGGAGGATCTTGGGGGGGAGGGAAGAATATTGCTAGTAGCTGAAAAAAATGAGAATTGAATTTGGTAGAGAAGTGCTTTTTGCCAACTGGATATATCAAAACTTTCATATTTGAAGTATTCTTTTTTTTTTTTTTTCTGATTTGGCTTGGTTTTGCCTTTTAGAGTGGTGAATGCAATTTACACTGCTCTCTAAAATTAGTGCTGTTATTTTTATACAGCAACCTATGGGCTCTACACAGAGATTTTTCATAGGCAGCAAAATATATTTCTTCTAAGTTTGGAAGCTTGAAAACTAGCAAAACCAGCAGATGCAGGGGTGAGTTTTCCATGTTTAACTCTTTGCTACTCAGGCACGTTCAGAAGTGAAATTATTTCTTTTCTAGAAGGCCCAGAGCCCTGCAGCTCCCACTTAACCCCATGGAGCATCTCCTGTGTACAGTGGCCAGCGTGGCTGAGGACCTGGGGGACGTGCTCCATCCTGGGTGTCTGCAGTGCTTACTCACTGTCCTGGGCTGCTGCTCTTACACTTTCCATTACTGTTAGGCTGTGGTTGCCACCTGGAATAAGCAACTGGAAACCCGGTGTGAGGTGCCTTTCCAAATGGTCACTCACTGACAGAGACTTGAGCTCAGCAATTCTGAAACCTTGAGCTTTCCATCAACTTTTGTTAGAGTTGGAGGGAAAAAAAAAAAATATTGTCCATTAGGTCTGGAGGGCACAGAACAATAGCAGGAAAGAGAAATCATCAAAATCTCTGCACTGGGTACACTGGGATGTGTATATGCATTGGGAAGAAAAATACTCTGGAGAAGAAAAAGCCTCCCATGGACGTGTCCTTTGGCAGAGAGCACTGCAGTGGTTCTGGAGTGGGGGTGGAGAAACTGGAGGATCCCCAGGAGCTGTGGAATCACAGACTGGTTTAGGCTGGGAAGGAATCTGAAGCTTATCCAGTCCCACCCTGTGCCATGGGCAGGGACACCTCCCACTGTCCCAGGCTGCTCCCAGCCCTGTCCAGCCTGGCCTTGGGCACTGCCAGGGATCCAGGGGCAGCCACAGCTGCTCTGGGCACCTGTGCCAGGGTCTGCCCACCCTCACAGGGAACAATTCCCAATTTCCAATCTCCCATCCATCCCTGCCCTCTGGCAGTGGGAGCCATTCCCTGTGTCCTGTCCCTCCATCCCCTGTCCCCAGTCCCTCTCCAGCTCTCCTGGAGCCCCTTCAGGCCCTGAAAGGGCTCTGAGCTCTCCCTGCAGCTTCTCCTCTCCAGGTGAGCACCCCCAGCTCCCAGCCTGGCTCCAGAGCAGAGGGCTCCAGCCCTCAGACCAACTTACTGGCCTCCTTTAGATTCATTTCTACAGCTCCACTTCTTTCCTCTGTTGGCCACCGCAGTGTCACCTGGGCTTTGCAGGTCCCCAGTGGGGTTTGCAGGTGTGTTCCCTCTCCAGGCTGGGTGCTGAACAGGAGGGTGTCTCTCATCTTGGAGGGTGCCCAAGGAAAGCCTTTCTGGAGCAGGGGAGGGCTGTGCTGAGCCCAGCTGCTGTGGGGGGCACAACAGAAATGTCCCAGTGGGTTCTGAGTGGTGTTTGTCACGCTGTCACCAGGATGGGTTGACCCATGCCCAGGGCTGTGCACCCACAGAAAGTGCAGAGTCTGTTTTGAGGGGCTGGGCTGCTCTGTCCTCTGTGTGCAGCTCAGGTGGGTTGTGCTGCTGCTGCTGCCCAAATGTCCAGCCCCAATAACAGAGATAAGATGACTTAAGTCCAGCTCAGCCTGCCCCAATGTCAGATAAGTGGCAGGAGCTTCTCTGCCTCTCACTGTGTGTGCCTGTAGGTCAATATTGTCCATGATCTGGGGTAAATCAGCCCCTTGGTCTCAAATCAGTGACCATGGGCAAGAATGTGTCTGCCAGGGCACATTCCAGTTCTGGAACATACGTATGAGAAATAGTCATTTCCTACATAGGAATGACAGTTTGGGAATAACCAGGGAGCATCAGAAGACTGCCTAGAGCTGTGGGACTAGAAACAGGGGATCAAAGCTGAATAAAGGACTGTGTAGTTTGAGCATCAGCAACATTTTCCTATTCCCATGATCTGTCAGGCTGTAGAAATCTCCCCAAGGAGCATTCCCTGCCATGGGAATCAATTGAAATGGAAATGGCAATTACAAAAAAAGTTTGCGAGGAATCCCTAGGACGAGCCAGGCAGCACAGCACTCTTTCCTCTCTGATTTAGGTGTCTTGTGCCCTCTTTGTTCTCTGCCTTTCCCCCTTAGACTATAGATGCCCTAGCTGAAGGCTTGCTGGGATGTTTGGAAGGAGACTTTTTCCCAGCTCATCACAGTCTCACGTAGGAAGGCCAGACTCAGAACAGATGAGCAGTTCGGGCTGCTGGCAATGCTGTCAGTGCTGGAGCTGCTCTGCTGTGCCAGCAGGACCTGGTGTCTGCTGGAGCCCATCCTGCCACAGCCCAGCTCAGATTCCTGCCCACGGAGGAGCTCAGTGGGGTGGTGGAAGCTCCAAAAGTGCTGAAGTGGGGCTTTTGGGGGAGGAAAAGCCATTTCCAAAGAGTGCAGTGGAGTTGGCAAGTTGCTTTGTTTTCCTTTGGCTGTTGTAGTGGATGCTTGTGGTTGGATCAGAGCTCATCTTTGCCTTCTGCTGCATCTCCCAGCAAAGTTGGCGGCCTGTGTTTAACATGGCAAAAACTCTTGCCACAGGGAGAATTACTTAGAGAGGGAAATCTCTTATCTAAAGTCCCATCTCCATTAGTCATCAGCTTTTTCATACTGCCTTTGTAGCCCACTGAGAAAGAAACAGTTTCTGTCATAAACCATAGGTTCTGTGGGTTTTCCAGACATGAAAGACACCCTGGAAAACAACTGTCTTCCAGTAAAAATTGTTGATTAATAAAAAAAGAAAAAATTCACTGGCAAATTTTCTGTAGATTTTATTTTGTTTTCCATGTTGTTCTTCAGACTTTATATTGTTTCCACTGGAAGCTCTGAATGGGGCCACGAATCCAGTAAATTACAAGTGCTGGCTGCAGCAGGAATGAGCATCTTTTGGATTTGGCTTTTTAGCCAGAAAAGAAAGAGAGCAGCTGCTCTCAGTGATTTCTTGTTTTCTGTCTCTGCTCTCGCCCTGCTCCATGCTGGTGATGTACCACACAGTGAGAGGTCCTGTGTGGGTACTGAGGATGCCACTTCCTCACCCTGCCAACCCTCCCAGCTCCCTGGAAACTACTTCTAATGTAAACATTATAGAGATACTGCTCGGTACTGCTAATTTATCACTTCTACCAGATGGGGAGTAAGTAGCCTATTAACATTCACAAAGTGAGGGTCCAATTCCTTCACATTTCTAAACACATCACCCTGGGATTCCTAAGATTTATGCCGTGGAGTTTTCCCATGTTCTGAGCCCCTTTGTGTGCCTTTAGGCTCATGGAGGTGTGCAGGGGCAGAAGGTGCTCAGGGAGCTTTTGAGGGAAGGAGCACAGATTTGGAGGATGACAGTCTGACAGAATTTGAACTTGGATATTTCATTCACTTTGATCTGAGTGTAAAATCCAAACTAATTTGAGATTCCCGATATTCCGATTATGGGCACTATTGTGGCTGAAGTAAGCATAAGGTTAAATGTGAAAGTTTGTGGTGAAGCCATGAGGAGGGGTTCCTGTACTACACTTTGCAGGTATCTTAGAAGATCAGGAGGTTTTTCAGCCCACTTCTCTACCTTCAATATTGCCATTTTCCCAATAACACCCCTCTCTCCAGCTCACTTCTTTTCTCTCCCTCCCCCAAATCCCAAGCCCCTTTGTCTGCCCCACAGAACAACTTCTCTGTCTTTATGGGATAATTAGTGTGGACAATTGCTGCTTTTCCCATTGGGTTTGAGGTGCAGTGAGCCATGAAGGAATCTGTAATGACATGAAAAGTCACTGGAGGCGCGGATGGTGGCTGAATAGCAACAGTTACCTCTCTGAATAGATTAAATTAAAAAAAATAAAGCTTTGTGTTCAGCTGGGGGAAGGGAGGATTCACTAATCTTTTTGTACTTGACAATGTGGTTTTGTATCTCGGCAGCTCAAGGAAGAAATCAGGCGGGGCTTTGCCAGACTGGAGGACCCTTTGGCAGGACTCCTGGCCATGCTGGAGAGCAGCAGTCATTGGAAGGGGAAAGGGCATTCCCTGGAGTATTGCATCACCACGGAGCTGCAGCTTTGGATAAAAGCACATCCTGCTATCCCGCAGGTTAGAAAAAGAGAAAGCAAGAGAGTTGGGAGAGAGGAGAGAGCAATTGATTTTAATGTTCCTCAAGTACCTCTAGTTTCATTATATTCCAGAGTCCAGATCTTCTCTGCAGCCTTATACAGAATGTGACAAGGTGTGAAACACAGTGAGATGTTATCTGTGGCATGCTGGCCTGAAAATGAAATCATATTGGGAGCTGTGCTGCCAGAGCTGTTTCCCCTCCAAAGTTGGGATTTCATCTCTCCAGATCAGACCACTTTGGTCGAGCGTTGCTCTTGCAGCCTTTCCAGGCTGGAGGCTCTCCCACTGGAACCCACATCCCTGCTGTCAGTAGAAACCTAGTTGCAGAAATCTGCTCTGTGTGTTCTTCCAGCTCTGCAAATAGAAGCCAGTTACTGTAGGATTGCTTAATTCCTGCCATATGGTGGGAATGCAGAAAATGGGAACAGCCTGCCTTTTCAGCAGCTGAATGATTAGTTCTGTAAAGCTGGGTCATCAGATTATATGTCTTAGTGTTTACCATTCCTTCTGCCTCCAGATATTCTGACCTACTGAGATTTTCTCTCTTCTGTGAGCTTTTGGCTCTGAACTGCAGGATACTTTTATATTTGTGTTGCTTCCTTTCCCACTTTTCCAAATGGCTCTGGTTCAATGTTGAGCTCTGCCATTACAGGCTCAGCGAAGTGCGACTGGCACTGAAATTCCTGTGTCATGAGTGAATGATCACGTGGGAGCACAAGGATTTAAATACCTGTGTCTGTGCATCTTTTGATGGTGCTTTTGCTTTCCCTACCCTTTGTGCACCCAGCAGCAAGCCTGAGAATGAAAATGGAATCCTTATGCCTGATAGGTGAGATCTCCCTGGAGGGGAGTCACTGAATTCAAATATTTTCTGCTGGGTACTGGAGGGGAGAATTTCTGAAGAACTCTGTTAGCACAGAGGGCATTTTTCCAGTTTCAGTTTTTCCTTTTGCACAAGGCCCTATCCCTTCTCCAGAATTACCCCACAAACATTTCATGTTCTTGAAGTAGGTGCTGTGGAAAAAATGTGTATCCTATTGCTCTGATTTCTGCCTGCAGACTCTGTGGGGAAATGGGAGAATCTCTTCCAGAGGAATTTGCTTGCTCTGTTTACACAAGCTGTGTTTTCAACCACCATTGAACCGCAGCCATCTTTACCAAACCTGTGTTTGATTGTTTTTTGGTTGTCTTTTGAAGTCTAGCACCAAGCTGAAGAAGCTGCAGGCCCGTGTGCTCGGAATGCTCTCCCAGTGCCCAGCTAATCTGCTTGACCCCCTGATTAGCATTTACCAGCTCCACACAGCAGACCGGAACTATTTGCTTGAACATGTCAGTCATCTTTATCTCCAGGGCAATTACAAAGAGGTGGGTCATGTCTTTCAAATAAATTTACCTTGCCAGCTCTCTGTGAATGTCTATGTCCTTTTTTTTTGGATGCATTTCAATGTGAATTCCATTTCATCCCAGCAGCTGCACGCTGTGAATGCTGCAGCTTAACGTTCTCTTCCTGGGCTCAACCTCGGCTTTTCTGCTGACTGGGGACAGAATGCCAGGGAATCCCCCCTCCACTCCTTTGCTGACCTTCAAAAGTAATAGGTTAATAGGCTTTAATTTGGAGAATTTAAGGGGATGGTTGTATTCTTTTTTGTTTTCCTTGCCCTTAGCAAGAAAAGAAGGGATTTTAGTCCTTGGTCATAGACCTGCTGTGCTATCTCCAACCCACCTGCAGCCAGAGGGCTTGGGAAACCTCACTGGTCCCATGTGATTGCCCCAACCTCAGGTCTCAGTTGGAGGAGTTTTGAGGCCTCTTTACCGCTGAGGCTCATATTCCAAATGTGTAACACCACCTGTGTCTGCCTCTGGGTGGCTGACACAGGCAGGAGTTCAGCAGACCCAGATCTGGTGTGCTTTACCCTGTTTTACAGCACTGCAGCATCTCCAGCTTGGCTGCCCCATCCCTGGAATTGTTCCAGGCCAGGTTGGACAGGGCTTGGAGCATCCTGGGGTAGGGGGAGGTGTCCCTGCCCATGGCAGGGGGTGGAACTAAATGGTCTTGAAAGTCCCTCCCAACCATTCTATGATTTTTCTTTTTTAAAGCCAAAAGGGTTTGGTTTTCTCCCAGAAGCATGGTTCATTTGGATGGTATATAACAACTTGATCTTGTTTAGCAAAAGTAAAACTCAAATAGCATTCTTAAAATCCTGTTTTTCAGTAAAGCTGAATTCCCAGGTGACATCCTGGAATCCCATTCTTTTTGGTTTCTTTCAATATGAAACAAAGATATTTTGTATTTGGTTTGAAGTTCCCAGGTAGCTGATTGAGACTTAGTCTTGTGCTCAAAATGTTTTTGAATGTGAATATTTGACAATTACAACATGAAGAAATGTCTTATTTGATTATATTCAAGTGGAATTTTTAGATTCATGGCTCCACAGATATTTGTTTTCATTAGCAATACAGTTCTTTCTAGATCCAGCTTTGGAAAGCTCTAGATTCTTTTGTTGGAATTGTTGTTCTGTTTTTTCTTTCACAGCAGAGATCATTTACTGCTCATTCCCAGTGTGAAGAACAGGAAACCTCAACAGCTTTTCACTCTCAGCCATAGCTTTCTTCTATCTTTCTTTTGTCACCAGAAGGATGAATAGAATTCTCTTCAAAAATAACAGGAAGTCTTTTACTGCCCTTGGAGACTAAATCAGGCTAACCCCAAACAACCTGGAGCTGTGACTCTGGGTGTCCATCTGTCCTTCTCTTCCTCATCTCTCAGCTGGGGAAGTGAAGCAGACTTACATGTAGGATTGTTGGTTCTCCGGTCACTCACCTGAAAGGCCAGAAATCATACAAATCCTGACTGTCATTATTTATTTTCTTGTTGTATTTGCAATAAAACACCATGCCTTTTACAGTTCAGTACTTAAAAGGGCTTATAAAAAAGAGGGAGATGACATTTTTCATGGGAAGATAGTGATAGGACAAGGGCAAGTATTTTAAGCTAAAATAAGAGAAATTTAGATGGGATATCAGGAAGAAATCCTTCCCTGTGAGGGTGGGCAGGCCCTGGCACAGGGTGTCCAAGGAAGCTGTGGCTGTCCCTGGATCCTTGGAAGTGTCTAAGGCCAGGTTGGACAGGCTTGGAGCAGCCTGGGACAGCGGAAGGTGTCCCTGTCATGGCAGGGCTGGGACTGGATGGCCTTTCAGGTCCCTTCCAACCCAAGCCAGTCTGGGATTCTGTGATTTATTCTAGAGCAGGTTATTCCCTTTGTCTGTGGTGTGCAAACCATGAATGTCCTCTGCCCTGAGAGTTAAGGCTCCTTTCCCTCATGGAGATTTTGGAGAATGTTCCCTTTGGAAAACAAGATCCCAAGGCTCCCTGGGGATGGCCATGGCAGTTGTTTGGTGCTGGAGCACCTCTGGTCCTCCCTTATGCCTGGATTTGGAGGAGCTGGTCGGAGGCTGAGCCTGGGGCTGGGGGCAGTACTGGCACGAGGCAGGAGAGAGGACTAGAGACAGATTGTGGTTCTGGTTGAGCAGGACGGGCTGTGCTGAGGAGGCACCTGCAGGGAGCAGCGCCAGCGCCAGCGGATGGCACTGTGCTCCCGGGATGCAGGAAAACAGGCAGCTCCTGGGAGCTGGGGAGCAGTAGGGATGTGGAACTGGGCTTTGAGGTGTCTGTCTGGTGTTTTGTCTTTCTTTTGTGATGGGAGTGTGCAGCTGCTGGAGGAGCAGCGAGAGCTCTGAGCAGGGCGAGGGGCTCTCAGCTCTGCTCGTTGTGACTCCCATGGCGTGGGGAGATGGGAGGGTTCAGCACTCCTGCTTGGAGTTCCAGAGAAGCACAGCAGCCTTGTCCCCTTCCCAGAACCCCTCTGAAGCCAGCCATGGCCCCATGCCACCCTCGAGCTGGGCTGTGCCAGAGGTGCCGGAGCCCTGCAGCTGCCGTGCGGGAAGGGCGATGGGAGCCAGGGCTCAGGTGTGGGAACGGGGCTGGGAAATGGGAACACCGTGTGGGAAGGGTGCTGGGGGCAGGAGGATGTGCCACGGGAAGGGCCCTGCATGAATGCTGTGTGGGAAGCACAACGGGTGCCAGTGGATTTGGTGTGGGAAGGGCACCGGGTGGATTTGGTGAGGGGAGGGTGCTGGGTGCTGGTGGATTTGGAGTGTGTGGGAAGGGTGGTGAGTGTTTCTGGTGTGGGAAGGGCACTTGAGTGTCAGTGGAAGTGGTGCAAGGACTCTGGATGGATTTGGTGTGGGAAGGGCGCTGGATGTTTTAGTATAGGAAGGACGCTGGGTTTGGTGTGGGAAGGACACTGGGTATGGTGTGGGAAGGTCTGGTGTGGAAGGACACCCAGTTCTGGTGTGGCAGGGCGCTGGGTGTGGTGTGGGAAGGTCTGGTGTGGGAAGGACACCCAGTTCTGGTGTGGGAAGGTCTGGTGTGGAAGGATACCCCACTCTGGCGTGGCAGGACGCTGGGTGTGGTGTGGGAAGGACACTGGGTATGGTGTGGGAAGGCCTGGTGTGGGAAGGACACCCAGTTCTGGTGTGGCAGGGCGCTGGGTGTGGTGTGGGAAGGCCTGGTGTGGGAAGGACACTGGGTATGGTGTGGGAAGGCCTGGTGTGGGAGGACACCCCGCTCTGGCATGGCAGGGCGCTGGGTGTGGTGTGGGAAGGACACTGGGTGTGGTGTGGGAAGGTCTGGCGTGGAAGGACACCCCGCTCTGGTGTGGAAGGACACCCAGTTCTGGTGTGGGAAGGTGTGGTGTGGAAGGACACCCCGCTCTGGTGTGGAAGGACACCCCGCTCTGGCGTGGAAGGACACCCCGCTCTGGTGTGGAAGGACACCCAGTTCTGGCATGGAAGGACACTGGGTGTGGTGTGGGAAGGTCTGGCGTGGAAGGACACCCCGCTCTGGTGTGGAAGGACACCCCGCTCTGGTGTGGAAGGACACCCCGCTCTGGCGTAGAAGGACACCCCGCTCTGGCATGGAAGGACACTGGGTGTGGTGTGGGAAGGTCTGGCGTAGAAGGACACCCCGCTCTGGTGTGGAAGGACACCCCGCTCTGGTGTGGAAGGACACCCCGCTCTGGCGTAGAAGGACACCCCGCTCTGGCATGGAAGGACACTGGGTGTGGTGTGGGAAGGTCTGGCGTAGAAGGACACCCCGCTCTGGCGGGGAAGGACACCCCGCTCTGGCGGGGCAGGGCGCTGGGTGCTGGCAGGACAATGCTGGATTCAGCAGACCGGGGGTAATGCAGCGCGAGCGGGGCTGCGAGAGGCCCTGAATAGGCCAGGCTGTGCTGGAGAAGAATGAGGGGTAGGCAGAAGGCAAGCTAGTGTTTCATGGTCATCTTATGTTACACTTCAGCCTTTCAAAGAGTGTCTGGGGCTGCTTGAATGAACCTCTCTTGCACTGCGAATGCGGGAGCCTGGAGACAAAGGGGACTCTTGTCACTCTCAGGCCCCTTTGGGGAATAAAAGCCATTGTCACATGAACAGGGGCAGTCTGGCAGGCTGTGCATGCTTCAGTGCCCCATGATATCGCTAAGTCTCAGCAGAAATCACATTCAGGGCCCTGTCAGCTTTGATTAGCGGGGTCTCATGACTTAATGTGCTGCGATATTTCATGTCTAAGGGTGGCGGCTGTCTTTCTGGGGGATGAATGCCCTCTATTGTCCGCTGAGTTATTTTATTTACATTTTTTAAACAGCTTATAAAGGTAAAAAGATAGCTGTGCTTAAAGAAAAAAATCAAATTCCTTTGCTTCTGGATCAGCAGTGAGTGCTGCTCGGGTCAGATACAGTGAAACTTGTTTTCACAGTCACCATCAAAGTTCTCGTCTTGTTTAACAGCTTTATAGTAAATTCTGAACAGGTGGCAGTGGAGCTGGGTTTAGGAAGGAAACAATAAATAATCTTTTTAGCCTCTGACAACCAGAAATATTCCTGGGCCTGAGAGACCTCCCACTCCAGCCTCTGTGTCAGGGACTCAGAGTTTCTCTCCCCTTCATCACTTCGGTTCTTAAGAAAGAATATTGGATGAAGCCAGTACTATTTTATTTTTAACATGATTTTCAGTTGCTGTCTGTTGACATTTCTCTGTTTTCAAAAGCAGAGTATACTTTTTCTTCTAATATTTTATCCATCAATTTCTAGAAATAATGAAGACTTGTATGTTAAATTTAGTTCACGTTTGCTCTTTCAATTAAGATAATGTGGCTTATCTGGTAGAATTCAGTTAAAAGTTGACATAAAATACCCAGAGAAAAAAGTTGCGTAGACACAAAATTTCAGGTTTTTTGTCAGCAATACTGCTACAGACATAAGAGAAAGGGTGATTGACCAGAGTTAAACTTAAAGGAGCACAAATACTCA